CTGCTGGAAACCGACCCGGCTTTGTCAAGACATTTCTCTGCCTTATCCTATTACCTGACCTCCCGTTGCTGAACCCGGCCCGTGACCTGAGTATTCTTGCCTACCGTCTTGTACTGTCTGCTCCGCTGTTATCGATCCAGCCTGTCCGACCATGCTATACGTCTTCCCATCTGGCTCCCACCAGCTATACACCATTGGCGGCAGCCGTTACCGCAGCTGGGGTTACTCGGGGGTCGCGACCTGGTCTCAGGCTGCGTCAAGTCCATCCCCACCATCAGGGGCCCTGGTGAAAGGCAGCCTGGGGCTTAGACTCCGCACCCTGAGGGATTCCGGTTTGTGGGTGGTGGCTGTCGCCAGTCGGTGCATGACCTTACCATAAGGCCTGCCTATCCATTCCCCCGCTCCGGCCCTGACAGTGGCTTCCCGGCATGTCGTCCCTGAGATGATCTGCAGAGTGACCTCGTGGTCCTCAATCAACACTTTTATAGATCATTACTGTGTAGAGCCTGCCTTCTTATTCTCTGCTAATTTTAGTTTGAAAAGCAAAGATTTATGGGAGAGGAGTCCTATAGGAGAAGAGAGGGCAGGACTAACCCATACGTATGCTGCCATGGAGTCCGTCAGGAAAGGAAAGTTACGGTAAATATTTGATAGGAAATTTTCCATTTTTTTAAAACAACACTGAAAAAAAAAGTATTGATTTGAAAAAAAATGAAAGTGCCTCTGTTCCCCCCGTGCTCATGCACAAAGGCGAACGCGATCATCCCACACATAAGAGGTATCACCTCGAACACCTCGAACACCAGATCATGGACAGTTCTTATAGAACTAGACTTCCTTTGCAAATCTAAAGTGATAACCTGTAAAGATTTTTAAAGTGTATGGATAGTAAAATTTACATCGGTGTGCTCAATTGTAAAGAGCGACATGTTTGTTATCAATTTACTCAACGTAACATCATCTTTTATTTTCTACAGAAAAAATAGTTTTTTTGCAGTAAAATTCACAAAAAATTATGTTTGAAAAACTGTTGCGCAGATACCATGTGACATAAAGAATTGCAAAATCCACCAATATTTTCTCTAGGAGCTCTGCTTTTAAAAAATATATAACGTTTGGGGGTTCTAAGTAATTTTCTATTAAAAAATTTTGATTGTTGTCAATACCAAATGTCAGAAAAAAGCCTGGCCTGAAGTTGACATGTACACTATATTGGCAAAAGTATTGGAACACCCCCTCCAAATCATTGGATTTGGATGTTCCAATCACCTCCATGGCCACAGGTGTATAAAATGAAGCACCAAGGCATGCAGACTGCTTCTACAAACATTTGTGAAAGAATGGATCGCTCTCAGGAGCTCAGAGAATTCAAGAGCAGTACCGTGATAGGTTCCCACATGTGCAATAAGCCCATCCATGAAAATTCCATGAAACTAAATATTCCACGGTCAACTGTTAGTGGTATTATAACAAAGTGGAAGCAACTGGGAACAACATCAACATCAGCACATGCTGTCTGCAGAGTCAATAGCTAAAGACCTCCAAACTTCATTTGGCCTTAAGATTAGCACAACAACAGTGCGTAGAGAGTTTCCATCACCAACTGCAATGTAAAGCGTCGGATGCAGTGGTGCACGCCACCACTGGACTCTGGAGCAGTTCTCTGGAGTGACAAATCATGCCTCTCTGTCTGGCAATCTGATGGACATGTCTGGGTTTTTATGGTTGCCAGGAGAACAGTACTTGCCTGATTGCATTGTGCCAAGTGTAAACTTTGGTGGAGAGGAGATTGTGGTGTGGGGTTGTTTTTCAGGGGTTGGGTTTGGCCCCTTAGTTCCAGTGAAGGGAACTGTTAAGGCATCAGCATACCAAGACATTTTGGACAATTTCATGCTCCCAACTTTGTGGGAAAAGTGTGGGGATGGCCCCTTCCTGTTCCAAGATGACTGAGCACCAGTGCTCAAAGTAAGATTCATAAAGACATAGAGGAGTGAGTTTGGAGTGGAGGAACTTGACTTGCCTGCACAGAGTCCTGACCTCAACCTGATAGAACACCTTTGGGATGAATTAGAGCAGAGACTGTGAGTCAGGCCTTCTCATCTGACATCAGTGTCTGACCTCACAAATGTACTTCTGGAAGAATGGTCAAACATTCCCATATACTCACTCCTAAACCTTGTGGACAGCCTTCCCAGAAGAGTTGAACCAGTTATAGCTGCAAAGTGAGGGCCAACTCAATATTGAACTATGGACTAAGACTGGGATGCCATTAAAGTCCATGTGCGTTCAAAGGTAGGCATCCCAATACTTTTGGCAATATAGTGTACAGTTGCAAGAAAAAGTATGTGAACCCCTTGGGATTACGTGGAGTTTTGCATGAATTGGGCATAAAATTGCTCTGAACGTCATCTAAGTCACAACAATAGAAGAACACAGTCTGCTGAACATAATACTACACAAACATTAGATGTTGCCATGGTTTAATTGCACATAACATCTAAACATTCACAGTGCAGGGAGGAAAAGGTATGTGAGGCCCTAGCTTAATGACTTCTCCCAGAGCTAATTGGAGCCAGGAGTGAGCCAACCTTGACTCCAATCAGTGTGATGATATTGGATGTGTTGCTGACAGCTGTCCTGCCCTTAAAAAAACACACACCTGGACGGAGTGCGCATGCGCATGTGCGGCCGGCGGGGCGGACATGTCCCGTTGAGGCTCCGTCTCCACGTCGGGTGACAGCGCCGCCAAGCAGCGGGTCCCGGCCCGCAACATACCCCAGGGGGACCCGAACACAGCGGCAACCATCCCAGGGTCCGATCCGCCCTGGTCTGCGGCGGATCTCCTGCAGCGGGTCGGAGATATCCGACGGGACACGTGTCCCTGCGGCGAGCTCCGCACAGGCCCGCCCACTGCACTGAACCTGGGCAGCAGAGAGAGAAAGAAAAGGGGGGCTGAGAATACCATAACAGCCCCCCCCCTGACTGACGAGCAGCAAAATGGTTAAGGGGGCCCCGGGCATCAGGTCCCCCCTTCTACCAAGTCAATCAAGGAGGCCCTGGCAAAGGCCTCCACAAAGATGGCCACCGCCTCAGCACATGGAAGCAAGAAGGTGACAAATACATATGCAGCCCTACAGGATCCGCAGCCCAGCCTTCCCTGCACGTCTGAGGGTGAGTCTGACACTGAAACTGATGTCCCTGCACAAGCCCTGACGCCTGACCTTACACCCCCAGACCTGCTGACCCCGCTTTGAAATAATGCTACACAAAGCTTTGAAGCAAACCTCGGACCGCATCACTGCTACACTATCTAGGGAAATCCGTGAACTAGGGCAACGCACTGCAGACCTAGAGCAGAGAGTAGATGGTCTTGATGCCACGCTTCAGACACATACGGATGACCTTGACCTTCTGCGCGACGAAAACGCAACACTATTGACACTGGAGGAGGACTTTGAAAACAGGGCACGACGCTCCAATCTGCGTATTCGTGGCCTCCCGGAAACGATCGTCAATCTCCAATCAACAGTAACAGCTCTGTTCCAAGAGCTTGCCCCAGCTATCCCAATCGAAAGATTAGAATTGGATAGAGTACAAAGGGCGTTAGCATTGCGACGCACGGATGGTCCACCACGTGACATTATAGCCAAGCTCCACTTTTTCCGCACCAAGGAGCAACTCCTACAAGCCGCCCGTAACGCAGAATCTCTACAGTTCCAAGGTCATTCATACCAGCTATTCCAGGATCTAAGCCCCACAACAATCACCAAGCGCAGGGCTATGAAACCTCACCTACAAGTACTTCAACAACACGCTATACCATATAGGTGGAGCTTCCCCTTTGCAGTGCGATTCAGATATCAATCCCGGGATTACACTTGTAAGACTCCAGAAGACCTACTAGATACCCTGCGGATCTTACAACTGCATTCCTCAGCGACACCTCCAAAAGCGCCAAGCGGAGGTCCACATCCTGCTCGCCGCGGAAGTCCCTTCCCCACACGTGCCACTGAAGGCCCACTCAACCTCCACAAACGAGGCCGCTTCTCATCTATGGGTCTATCTACACAAGATACCATGGACTGAACGGTGTCTCATGTTTATCCTTCTTCTCTCCACTTTATTGTGGCCATATACACCAAACGGTGTACTCCTTTGACTGTCATTACTGTTATTGAGATTAATACCGTTGATATCCTCTCTCCCTCTACCTGTTAAATTTTGGTTGCCCCGTTACCTGGGAATTGTTCGGCTCCCCCCCCTTGGGGCCCCACTTTAGGTTAGTTTGTTTGAGAGCCTAAGCTCTGACGGCATGCGACGCCACACACCCCTTCCCCTGGGATGTCTCACTGATACTGCTTATGCCGTCTGAGTTTGGGATAGCGTGATCTTCATGAATGTATTTTCTTTATGTACCTATTTTTTTCTACCGGGACCTCACCACCTTTTATCAATCAAGTTGCTGTCATCCTCACGGACCATGTACCTGCACACTCCAACCTAGCCCCTGTGTTATTGGTTATTTAATAACGCTTGGGCTACTATTGTTTTCACCCCCCCCCCCCCCCTCCCCCCCCCCCCCCAGCCTCTGCCGCCACCAAACGCAGGGGGGTACTGATAGCCTTTCATCGCACAACACCCTTCACACTAGGCACCGAAATTAAAGACCCGGAGGGTCGTTACATCCTGTTAGTTGGGCAACTCTTGGATATAGATGTCACCATTGCTGCATACTATGCCCCAAACCAAGACCCTTTACCATTCCTTTCCCACATACTCTCGACTATAGACCACCATAAGCGCGGAACTTTAATTGTTAGCGGAGACTCTAATAGTGTAGTATATCCCTTCCTCGATAAATCCCCTCAACCATCTTCTGCCCCTGCCTCTAAACAAACTTTCCAAGCCATTCTACACTGTTACTCCTTGATAGATACATGGCGAGAACTCAACCCGGCGAAAACGCCAATACACCTTTTATTCTCACCCCCACCAGTCATTCTCCAGGATAGATCATATTTTCCTTACCACCGCCTCTACCCCCCGGCTCCTGACTTCTGAAATATTTCCGATACCTTGGTCTGATCATTGTGCTGTATTCACGGCTATGACCTCCTTGGCCCCATCCCCCGCTAAGTCCTCTTGGATTATTAACGATAACCTGCTTGCAAACCCCAGCTCACTGTCTAGAAATCGAAGCAGCCCTTAAAGACTACTTTTCTCTTAACCAATCACCTGATATTTCTCCTCTCCTGTTATGGGAAGCGCATAAACCGGTTCTGCGAGGGTTTGTATTAGCAAAGCATCCTTCTTAAATAAAAGCAAAAGGCAGCAACGTCTCACACTAGAGCAAACCTATGATCGTTCCCATCAAGCCTTCCAGGTGGCTCCTACGCCTGCCAATCGTGAGACCCTGGAGTGTTCTAGATTGGCTCTAGATCTTTTCCTCACAGATCAAGCTGAACTCTCGCTCCGACGATCTAGACACAAATATTACACCAAGGCGAATAAACCCAATACATTCCTGGCCCTCTCACTTCGTAGGCTTGACCAACTCATTAGACCTATCCGGTTACGCACCTCTTCTGGCAACCTCACTAGTAACCCAGAACGCATTCTACAGATTTTCCATAAACACCTGTCACAGCTTTATTCCTCTTCTACACCTTTTGACCCCACGCAAGCAGATGCCCTTCTAACCCCCATTTCCTTCCCAAAACTTTCTGAATGCCAGTTGGAGGCACTTGAGCGACCCATTTCCCTAGCCGAAACCTTAGATGCTATTAAAAATTTAAAACTACGTAAGCGCCCAGGACCAGATGGCTTCTCAGCCACGTATTACAAAAAATTTGCTCACCTCCTTACACCTATCCTCACTAATGCCTTTAACGCTCTACTGTCTGGCCACGTTTTTAATCATGATACAGTACAAGCAAACATTTCAATGATCCCAAAGCCGAATTCTGACGATACGCAGTGGTCCAATTATAGGCCAATCTCTCTCCTCAACATTGACGTTAAACTGTTAGCTAAAATCCTCTCTTCACGTCTTAACCTATGTATTGGCTCTCTAATTCTTAACGACCAAGTGGGCTTTATTCCAACTAGGCAAGCGGGAGATAACATCAGACGTGCATCCCTTTTGGCTAACTTAGCTAGCTCTCGCAATATTCCCGCCTGTTTCCTGTCCCTAGATATCCGGAAAGCATTTGATACAGTCTCATGGCCATATCTCAGCTATATATTGAGTCGTTGGGGTTTTGGCCCACATTTCTTAACCTGGATCTTCTCGTTATATCGAGAGCCCTCGGCCAGAATTGGGTATCTGGGACACAGGTCGGCTCAGTTCCCGATCTCCAGAGGCACGAGACAAGGCTGCCCTCTGTCCCCTTTGCTCTTTGCCCTGGCTATAGAGCCTCTGGCCCTCTTAATTAGAGCTAACCCGGATATCAGGGGACTTGAGATAGGAGGCACGCATCATAAGTTATGTCTCTTTGCGGATGACGTCTTGCTCTTTCTCTCTCATCCCCATTGACTTCCACTCCTTCTCTACTCTGGCTTCTCGAGGCGTTTGGCTCGCTCTCTGGCTTACTAATAAACCCTAATAAATCAACAGCACTCAATATCTCTCTCCCCCCTTTAGAGTTGACGCACCTAAAGCAGATTCTACCATTCCCTTGGTCGCGCTGTCATATCCCATTCTTGGGTATTAAACTGACCCCTAAGTTATCAGACCTTTACGCAGCTAACTATCTTCCGATGCTAAACCAT